AAAAAAAAAATTAAAACAAAACAAAACAAATTTAACTCACTTAGGTTCATCTGTTATGCTGTAAGTACGAATAAAGGAGAAATGTAACTTCCATTGCCCATGATTTCCTGGCATTAGGATACATACATGTGGCGTATACAATTCCTGATGTCCTTCAGGGCTAGACAATCTTTGATCTTTACCTCAAGCCAGCCTGGAGCTCGACAAAAGAAACTCCTGGCAACTGAAATTGGTCTATGGACTCACCTAGTCTGCAAAATATAAGCAGCAGAGCCAAGACTAGAGTTAGGGTGAAAGCAGAATCCAGGTCTGACTGCAGAGCCTGTGTCCCCACCCCTGTCCCGGTTATCCATAGAAGGAGGTGAAGAAAGAAAATATGCAAGAAAAGGAGACAGGAAAAATAATAAATGGTTCAACATCAATCTTTTAATATCAGTGGACCCCCTTACTCATTAGAAAGGAACTAATTCACCAAAGTAATCTAAGAAGTGACTACATAGGGACCATATTTGAACTTGGTAGTAGGCTGTGTGCCTGAATGCTTTATATTAATTCTCAGAACAGCTCTTTGAGTTAGGTTCCTTTGTCCCTGTTTACAGATAAGAAAAACTACAGCTCAGAGAAATTATACATGTTTGAGATCGTATAGCTTGCAAGTAGCAAAGCTGGGAATCAAAGCCATGCAGTCTGGCTTCAAATTTCATGCCCTTAACCACTATGCAATACTGCCTCTTTGTCTCTTTTTGGAGGAGAAAAAAAACATCTGTCCTGGCAATCTTTGTCTTCTTCAATCCCTAATTTAAAATATTATCTAATCAGCTTTTCTCTTGGGAAAACATTTTCTTAGAAACATCTGAAGGAAGAAAAGAATCTGTTCTCATTTAAATGAAAATAGTATCACAATAAGAACCTCTGTAAAATCACAGACACCACTAGAACAAAATCAAAATGTAGTAAAGATTAGAGCATAATATCCATTCCATGTAAGTAAATGCTTGGCAAGCTTTCAGGAGATCAATATGACATTCCATTTGTGAAATGACTATTAATCTCAATAGGTGATAAAAGATTTCATCAGTCCAGTTTTGAAGAGAGGCCAATAATCAAACTCATGTGCAGAACATACTGAAAAAGGATAAAAATGAGGACCTACTCTTTGGTCATGGCCTACTAAAGAAAACAAAAATGAACATTCAGAATCAACATCTGCTTGAATCTTCTCTATTCGCAGAGTTTGCAACTATCAGAACTTTAAAGAAAAAACATTAAAAAATTTAAAATTAGTCACACATACATTTGATAGTCGCTTACAACTTGGTTATCCTATAAGAATATTCATCTAGGATTGAACCACGGAGGACATACTTTGAGCAAGATAAATAGGACAGATAAATGGGTCAGAGGTGTTCCTTTCAAGAATCCAAAGTCACTGTAGGAGAGTCTGTGTGTGTGTGTGTGTGCATGTGTGTGTCCGTGTGCACAAGATCTGTGTTTGTTTGGAGTCCAGAGAAGGAATTGTCAGAGACGAGATGAGAATGTATCTGAATCAAGAGGGAAGGACAGGGGCGCCTGGGTGGCTCAGTCGTTAAGCGTCTGCCTTTGGCTCAGGTCATGATCCCAGGGTCCTGGGATCGAGCCCCGCATCGGGCTCCCTGCTCGGCGGGAAGCCTGCTTCTCCCTCTCCCATCCCCCCTGCTTGTGTTCCCTCTCTCGCTGTCTCTCTCTGTCAAATAAATAAATAAAATCTTTTTTTTTTTTAAAAAGAGGGAAGGGCAATGCAGCAGAAGCAAGGGGAAGCTCAGTGAAACCCAAGGTCCCAGGAAATGACTTTGGCCTATACCAGAAAGAAAAGATTGGGATGGCAATTAAGAGAGAAACCGAGAAACCTGCCAAGCACACATTCCGCCAAACTACCACTACCACAAACTATCCCACTGGGCAGCTTTGCTTAGTAGCACCTCGGGGAGGGCTTAGGCAAAAACAAAGGGACCTGCAGCTATGCCAAATAAATCTATTTTTAGCCACAGAAGTTGGGCTCTCGAATCGGCACTTCATATATCTTGTTCATGCAGATTTGGGTATTTAATTTCATTTCTAATAAAAATGCCTTCTGAAAAAAACTTTGACCTTATCTCATCTAAACTAAGTGCATACTGCAAGTGATGGCAGCCAAGCTAACCCAAGGCAAGTCAGCATTTGTTCGTGTTTGTGCTTTTCCCACATCTAAGTCTTTGACCCTCTGGTTATTTGAAGACAGCTGGTCTTGTCTTACCCATAAGTCTTAGCTTCTCCAAGTTAACCATAAGCAATTGCTTAACCCTTGCCTTGTTTTTGCCCTAGGTCTCTCTCTACTCCCTATCCCATTACCCTCCCATCTCTCAGTAGTTGGGTATGCTACCCAGAACTGGACACAACACGAATTGGATATTAGAAGTATTAACTCCCTTGATCTGAAACTGTATTTCTGTTGATGAAGCCCATCATACTGATTTCAGGGGATACAGATTTGAAAGCCAATCAATCAGCATTCTTCATTTACTTTGTTTACTGCCTAGTAGCAGCAATAGGTCAAATAACAATATATGACTTAGTTCTTTGGGATTTCTGGAGGTCAAGTCTGGGGGGAGCAAAAAAAGAAAGGGTAGAGCTCTTCATGACTTTTTAAAAAAAATATTTATTTATTTGACAGAGAGAGTGAGAGCGCACAAGCAGGGGGAGCAGCAGTGGGAGAGGGAGAAGCAGGCTCCCTGCTGAGCAGGCTCAATCCCGGGAGCAGGGAGAGCCCAATGCAGGGCTCCACCCCAGGACCCTGGAATCATGACCTGACCCGAAGGCAGACGCTCAGCCAACTGAGCCACCCAGGCGCCCCTCTTTGTGACTCCTATAGTATTTACCAGTATCTGCCTTTTCTTAAGATTCTGAGAGCTGTGTGTAACCAACCCATAGGCTGAGTTCCTTGAAGCAAACTACCCCTTTAATTTTAATCTTGTCCACACAATATCTAACAAGTGATAAATTTTTTGTTCATTGCAGAAGTATTTATCAAATAATTACATCTAATATTCTACTTTGAAAGAATAAGTATTTTCCCATGTTACTGAGCCCCATCCTGTCTTTGTATGCCTGAGACCTTGGGCCACACCAGATAGTTTATCCGAACAATGTGACTTATGGTGAATGCCTATTTTTGTATACCTGGGGCCCTAGGACATGCTGTATCAGTTTGACCACTGGGTGGGTGCTAGACTCTAAATGGCTGAGTCAATCAAATGGACACTGCATGACTGATTCCCATTAAAAACCCTGGACACTAAGGCTCAGGTGAGCTTTCCTGGTTGGCAACAGTTCACTCACGTCACGTATCATTGCTGAAAGAATTAAACACTGTCCCCGTGTCTCCATGGGGAGAAGACAACTCTGCAGCATACATCTTTTCCCTTTGCTGATTTTAATCTGTATCCTTTCACTGTAATAAACTGTAAGTATAATGAGTCCTTCTAGTGAACCACTAAACCTGAAGGTAGTCTTGGGGATCCCTGACACAGATATGTAAACGTGGGACAAGAATAAAAATAGTAAGTACTTCGGACAAGAAAAATTTAAGAGGCAATGAATTCCATGGCTGCTATTCTGTCCACTGTCAAATAACAGCATCTAGTAAAATCAGTAAAGATGTTTATATCTATTTGATGGCAGTTTAACTTTAATTTGGATACCTCATCTCTTAGAGAATTTTGGTTATTTTTGTTTCAATCCACAATAAATACGAACATTTCAAAATAGGTTAAAATAAATTTTTATTAAAAATTTTTATTAAATGTTAGATTTATACACAATTCACAAATTCTTTACAAAACAATTGCCAAACCTTATTCATTTGTAATTGTTTCTATGCAGACTTGGAAATTTTATAGTGAAATAGGGTCTATAAAATATTTTTTTAGAAAGCATCACAATGCTAATTTTAGGCAAAATAACATTTAAAACTGAAATCTTTGCACGTGAGAACTCTCAAACACCCGTATCCTTTATCCCAGTGACAGTGTAATGGGAAAATGAACATTAAATTGACTTACTGAGGAAACAATGAATAAGTATTCTGTAAACTTGCAAATTCACTCAAGTTTCTTTATTACTTTCAGAAGCAGTGGCATTACAAGGTATTGACAACGAAACTACGTACTCAAATAAAATGAATGTTAATCAAATTAACATTCAAAGAAAAAAATAATGTTTCAAAGAGGCACCCCTTGTTGTAAGATCTGTTAAAGAAGTCTTTAGCACACTGAAGGCTTACGGTACAGGCCATCAACCCTGCAGGAGACAGTCTCTTCACACAGAATGATAATTCATCCCTTTTAGAAGTAAATATCATCTCTGTAGTAGTATTGCTGGTAAATGAAAGATACAAGTTCAAAATACAATGGCAACATACAAAAGTGGTCAATAGTTTTGGTCTTTGTCTGAGAGGTACACTCTGTAGTTTAGCAAAGACTGGCTTTGAGTCTTCAGTTCAAAAGGATGACTGCCCAACTGGTACGATTCCAGAGAACAGAATCCTAACCACCAACTTGAAAGGAATATGGCTCAACAAAGAAGAAAATAGTAACCAATTTACCTCAAAGATTAGGAAGTAAAATCAATGTCAAAGTATTTGAAATCACAAGGAATTTAAAAATTTAATGCTTTGAAAATTTCCCCCTGAGCTATGGATGCTTTTTTTATGTATAGTCTCTAGTAAAACAGATGCATTCTGTCATTCCAAATTGTACTTATAAATGCTATGAATCTTGGTGCCGAAAATAGTTATGTCTCAAACAGCACAAAGTGGTAGCAATTACATGTTTTGTGGAAATCTTTGGTGAAATGCAATCCTGTAGAAGCCTCCTTATTTTGTTTCCCTCCTCCTAATGCTGCTAGAATCTTCAAGTAATTTTTAAGGGAGAAACTACAAGACCATAATGAAGGACCAGCAGACCATCCTGAAAAGAAAAAAAAAAAGTGTTTTAGGGTTATCTGAAAACCAGTTGTGTAAACAATTAAGTCAGATATGGTTTATTTTTCATAGTCCAACACTAATGGAAAATTATTTGATTTAAAGAAAATAAAGGGTCCAAGATAAATAAACTTGCTTATTCATATTCACCTCATCACCAAACATTCCCTGTCAATGTGCCTTTTTCATGACTTTCAGTAGGTAATTCTGAAACTCCATTAACTAGCCAGGGTTGTTTACAGCTAAGCAGTTCTCTGTAAAGAACTAAATGAGGGGGCGTCTGGGTGGCTCAGATGGTTAAGCGTCTGCCTTCGGCTCAGTGCATGATCCCAGGGTCCTGGGATCGAGCCCCGCATCGGGCTCCTTGCTCAGCGGGAAGCCTGCTTGCTTCTCCCTCTCCTTCTACTGCTCCCCCTGCTTGTGCTCTCTCGCTCTCTCTCTCAAATAAATAAATAAAATCTTTTTTTTTTTTTAAAGATTTTATTTATTTATTTGAGAGAGAGAGAATGAGAGACAGAGAGCACGAGAGGGAAGAGGGTCAGAGGGAGAAGCAGACCCCCCGCTGAGCAGGGAGCCCGATGTGGGACTCGATCCTGGAACTCCAGGATCATGACCTGAGCCGAAGGCAGTCGCTTAACCAACTGAGCCACCCAGGCACCCTAAATAAATAAAATCTTAAAAAAAAAAAAAAAAAGAACTAAAAGAGATACACCTTTCCTTCTGAACAGACTACTTAAGAGACAACCCAAGTACCCCTGAAACAAATAATACATTATATGTTAATAATAATAATAATAAAAATAGACAACTCAAGTATAGGGCTTCCCTGAAGAAAGACTCAGTTATCATAAAGCATCATGGATCAGGTAAGAAATGATACATTTATTTCCACATAAATGCAGCTTATTACTATTCTAAGAAAACTTTGCAACCCTTACCTGTTTATCATGCATTTTAACTCCATTTTAAAGAGTGTTCACAACACAATTTAACCTTTCTTTGTTTTATTATTTTTTAAGTAGGCTTCCACAACCAGTGTGAGGCTTGAACTCAAGACCCTGAGACCCTGAGAGTGAGAGTCGCATGCTCTACTGTCTAGTCCAGCCAGGCATTCCTCTAACCTTGATACCTAGAGTCATCATTACGTATAGTGACTATACTGTTCTGTAACACAGTGATGTCTTCAGTCACTGGGCAACTTAACCCTATAGTAAATGACTTCAGACACTGTGTTTCTGAACCTTTTCATCTGCTTTTTTGGGTTTCTGTCTCTTCTCTTGATATCAGATCTTAATCCTTTGTGTTCTCACCAAGTCTGCATCCAGCAAGCAATCCACCTTAAGGTACTATTTTTAATCTACTGTGAACCAGAAAACTAGCTAAAAACTAAGACTCATTAGGGAAGTGTGCCATGAGCAATGGGCCAACTTTGAGCAACACAGAGAGGGAATGGTGGCATGCATGTCTTGCATTTCCAATCACATTCTAGCTATTACTCTCTTTCTTCTTTGTTAAGCTTTTCCATGGCTCTACTTCCTCATTTCTCATTCACTACACAACTCATTGCAATCTGGATTCTGTTCCTAGCAACTCCAGCAAAAACTCACCAGAATTCTAGAAAAGGGTTCACAAATTCAAATGCCCACAAGGGCTGGGAAAATAACATAGATGAATATGTGGGTTAGGTATGTGAGTCCACAGGGAATGTTGAGACTACTGGTAAACTAGAGACCCGATGCCTAGCTAAAGAAATTTAAACTCAAAAATATTTATAACACAGAAGAGCCAAATAAAACAATCTCATACTATGACTGGCCCATGGACCATCAGATCTATTCTAGACTCATTAGCCTAATCAAAGTAAATGAATTTGTATTATAACACAAACAGAAAGATTCTATCAACGTTCTTATAAGAATACAAATTACATCTTACAAAATGTTAATTTTTTGCATACGGTTATCATGTTTCAGAAATGAAAACATCATTTGCAAAACAATATACATGCTGAGATATCAAACTCAAAGTGTAGCTTACAAGCTGTTTTAAAACCTCAAAACAGGGGCGCCTGGGTGGCTCAGTCGTTAAGTGTCTGCCTTCGGCTCAGGTCATGATCCCAGGGTCCTGGGATCAAGCCCCGCATCGGGCTCCCTGCTCCGTGGGGGGGCGCCTGCTTCTCCCTCTCCCACCCCCCCTGCTTGTGTTCCTTCTCTGGCTGTCTTTCTCTCTGTCAAATAAATAAAACCTTTAAAAAAAAAAATAAAATAAAACATCAAAACAACTTTATGTATGTATAGATGTATAAAATCACATTTTATGAAATGAGATAAATATAATTCAAATCTTTATGTCTATTATATTTATACTCTATATACACAGATATAAATATTATTTATATTTTATATTTAGATGTTTTTATCCATGTTCTTCTTAAACTATCCAACCAGAATGAATCTGCAAAATGTAAGTCAGAATAGGTTACTTCACTCCTTGGCTTAAATCTTTCCAATCAATCATTTCCCACCTAACTCAATTAAAATCCAAAGTTCATACTATGGCCTATAAAGTCCTATACATGGTTTTATTCCAGCTGCCCAGATCTCAGCTCCTACCATTCTCTCCCTCAAGTCCCACATCTTAGCTTTCCCATTCAAAGCTAAGATGTCCCGAGACTCCATGAAACTTACATTGCTGCCAGTGAGGACTTTAATTGTATCACAGATTATTTAGGTTCAGGGACTTGCTCATCTCTGTCTGAATCTCCCTATGTGTCTAGAATAGTGGTCTGTAAATATTTTTTGAAATAATATTTTCTACCCACTCCACTGACTTTGGGGTTTTACTCCTAGTTTCTTACATTTTTATTCAAGGAAGTTTAATTTTTAAAAAGACAATCATTTTTATTTCCAAAAACATGTTAACAATAAATCAAATAATCACCTGAAAAAGTATTTGGCTACCCTTCTGTTAGGAGCCTGAACTTCTTTTTTTTCTAAAGATTTTATTTATTTATTTGAGAGAGAGGGAGTGCACAAGCAGGGGGAAGAGGTAGAGGGAGAGGGAGAGGGAGAAGCTGCTCCCAGCTGAGCAGGGAGCCTCATGTGGGGCTCAATCCCAGAACCCTAAGATCATGACCTGAGCCGAAGGCAGATGCTTAACCAACTGGGCCACCAAGTGCCCCCAAGAGCCTGAACTTTAAGTTCAATTTTTTCAAGAGTTGAATCTTGAACTAACTAGCCAAGTGACCCTGGACAAGTTACTTAACCTCTGTATGCCAGTTTTCTAAACTGTAAGATCCACTATTGGGTGTTAGAATAGAGGGCAACATTTGAGGAGAAACAGGCTATCTGCATAGTTTCAAAGTATCTCCCCCCAAGATATATATTTTTTTAAGATTTTACTTATTTATTTGACAGAGAGAGAGAGAGCAAGAGAGGGAACGCAAGCAGGGGGAGCAGGAGAGGGAGAAGCAGGCTTCCCGCGGAGCAGGGAGCCCGATGTGGGGCTCAATCCCAGGACCCTGGGATCATGACCTGAGCCGAAGGCAGACACTTAACAACTGAGCCACCCAGGCGCCCCAAGATATTATTAATTATAAAGACAAAGACCTATCAGTATTAAATATCTCCTGATGCTACCCTAAGAAGGGCACATCACTTGTATGGCATTCTTGCCAAAAATGTATAACTTCATTCTAGTCATGAGAAAACACCTGACAAACCCAAACAAGGGACAGTTTTAAAATAACTGACCAATACTCTTCAAAAGTATCAGTCATGAAAACAGGGAAGGACTGGAAAACTCGAAGAAGACAAGGAGACATGACAATGAAATACAATGTAGATCCTAGGACAGAGAAAGGACAATAGTGGGAAAACTAGCAAAACCCAATGTCTGCAGTTTCAGTATTAGTACTGTAACAATGTCAGTTTCTTAGTTTTGATGATTGGAGCATGGTCATGCAAGATGTTAATATTAAAGGATGCTGGTGATATCTACATAGGAGCTTTCAGTACTATTTTTGTAACTTTTCTCTGAGTCTTAAGTTATCTCAAAATAGTATTTTAAAGATTTTTTTTTTTTTTTTTTTTATTTGAGAGAGAGAAAGAAATAGAGAGCATGAGAGGAGGGAGGTTCAGAGAGAGAAGCAGACTCCCTGCCGAGCAGGGAGCCCGATGCGGGACTCGATCCTGGGACTCCAGGATCATGACCTGAGCCGAAGGCAGTCGCTCAACCAACTGAGCCACCCAGGCACCCTCAAAATAGTATTTTAAAACAGAAAAAAAGGAGGGGTGCCTGGGTGGCTCAGCCGGTTGAGCGTCTGGTTCTTGGTTTCTGCCTGGGTCATGATCTTGGGGTCATGTGATCAAGCCGTGTGTCAGGCTCCAGGCTCAGTGGAGAGTCTGCTTCTCTCCCTCACCCTCTGCCCCCTGCCCCCTGCTTGCACATGCTCAAGCTCTCTCATTCTCTAAAATAAATAAATCAATCTTAAAAAAATAAATAAAAAAGGAGATAATAATTGTTATCTTTTAAGGTTGTTGTGAGGCTTACACAAGATGACACATGTTTTGGGATGCCTGACTGGCTCAGCTGGTGGAGCATGTGACTCTTGATCTTGGGGTGGTAAGTTTGAGCCCCACATTGGGTGTAGAGATTACTTAAATAAAATCTTAAAAAAAAAAAGATAACACATGTTCTTTTGCACCTAGAACACAGTAGCATTCGGTAAGGGCTCAAGAAATGTTAATTATTAGTAGTACTGTCTTTTTCTGAGATTCCACATCATATAGGTGTTGTTCCTCAATTAGCCTGCAGGCTGATCTATGGATTTCGCTTTTTCTTTTCACTTTCCAACCCAAATAACTTCAAGACTTTTTTTCACTAAGTCCTAAAACCTTTTCACTCTCACTAAGCTGGTTATATTGCAAAAATAATTACATTTCATGCATCTTCATGTTCTTTTTGGAAATAAGAGAACTGTTGCTCAAGAAAAAGCCAGTTACTTTTTCAAAGAAACAGAAAGGTGACCAAGTCCTCTTTCTTCTTTGTAAATCACACATAAAATTCAAGTTAATAATGACAGCCATTTAAAAAACTAATGGTCCCTAATCATTGTATTGCTAATTACTTTTGCTACTCTGACAAACTGTTATCGCAACTGTACTGTACCTATGTAACAGAAGGATAATTACAACCTGTAATATCACAACAAAGAACAATCAGTCTTGGAGCATCTTTCCAATCCTCAATTACATATAAGTGTTATTAGCAAAATTACAAAACTTGTGATTTTTTAAAAAAATCCAAATACCATTAAAAAAAGTTATGAAAAACTGTGAATGGCCATGAAATGGCTATTAGTATTAATTTGGGGGTTACAATAAAACATTAATAAGTAAGCAAATCTACAGATATGGAATCCATGAATAATAATTATCAACTGAATATTCTTTCGTTCACTATTATGTCTATGTGATTCATCCATGTTGCTGCATACGGTAGTTGTATTTAATTGTATGTATATGCCACAATTTTTTACTTATTCTTTACTTACTTTTTCTGGGTTGCTTCTAGTTTGTGGCTATCATGAATAAAGCTATTACAAACCATCTTGTCCATGTCTTGTGGTGGACATAATATTCATTTCTATTAGATCTATACTCAGGAATGGAATTGCTGGGGGAGTGGGGTGTATATACATGGCTTTAGTAGATACTACCAGCAGAATTCCAAAGTGATCAAATCAATTCACACTCCCACTACCAACGTATATAAATTCTAGTCACTCCACATCCATACCAACACTTAACTCCGAGTCTTTTTCATTTTCGCCGGTTCTTTTGCATTCTGGTAGGCCCACTTAGCCAAACTGGAACTGTGTTTCCCAGAATTCCCTTCCCTTTTGAGTCGGCCAGTAGAGACTTGTACCAGACTTGCAAAGTGGAAGGAGGCAGAAGCCATTATGCTCAGGTCATTGCAGGGCGTCAGAGGCCCGTCCAACTTACACGCTTTGCTGCTGGCGCGCTGGCTTGCACTGTACGTACACGTACAACCAGGCCTGCAACTAACTCCTGCTCCCACAAGCGCCCCACCTTCCAGCCTCTCTGAATTTTGGGCCAAAGGCCACCAGCTTGTCTACGGATCACCCATGTCCCTGAAGACGGAAATGATGAGACACACATTCCAGTTTCTCCTTACGGGTGCCAGTTCATTCTCACTATTCCCCACTTTATGTCTGTCTTTTCTTCCAAGTGCTGCCCTGTTGATTTACAATGACTACTGATCCACAGGCAGTCTCTTTCCAAACACTTCTTCACCAGCCCCTAACAAACGTTTTAAGATATAATCCCTTATTCCCTAACAATCATATTGGTTCTGTTTCCCAGATGGAATCCTAAATGTTAAATCTGGTGAATCCAGGCAAAGCATAGATGGATGTTCATTGTACTATTCCTATGACTTTTCTGAAGGTTTAAAATTTTTTCAAAGTACAAAGATTAATATAACACCTCTGTTACCCGTACTCAGTTTTATTAAGTATTAACACTTTGCCTTGTTTGTTTCAAATCTCTTTTTAAAATGATAAAAATTTTTGGGATGTCTGGGCGGCTCAGTCGGTTCAGTGTCTGCCCCTTGATTTCAGCTCAGGTTGTGATCTCAGGGTTGTGAGATCGAGCCCTGCATCGGGCTCTGTGCCAGCAGAGTCTGCTTGAGATGCCCTCCCTCCCCCCTTGCACCCGTGCGCTCTCTCTCTCTCTCTAAACAAACAGATAAATAAAATCTGTAAAAAACAAAATAAAACAGGGGCGCCTGAGAGGCTCAGTCGGTTAGGAATCTGCCTTCAGCTCAGGTCATGATCCCGGGGTCCTGGGATCGAGCCCTGCATCCGGCCTCCCTGCTCAGTGGGGAGTCTGCTTCTCCCACTGGCACTCTCCCTGCTTGTGCACATGGTCGTTCTCTCTCTGTCAAATAAATAAAGAATTTAAAAAAAATAAGAAAATAAAATAAAATGATAAAAATTTTACATCTTTCTATCTGAAAGAGCAAAGTGTTATCACTCACTAAATCTGAGTGGTGGGTGCGAGGAAATCTGTAGCAAATTAGTAAAAAGAAAACCAAGCAAAAAAATTAAATAAAATTCTCCACAATAGGGGCATCTGGGTGGCTCAGTTGGTTAAGCAACTGCCTTTGGCTCAAGTCATGATCCTGGAGTCCTGGGATCGAGTCCTGCATCAGCCTCCCTGCTCAGTGGGGAGTCTGCTTCTCCCTCTGATGCTCCCCCCGCTCATGCTCTCTCTCTCTTTCTCTCTCTCTCATTCTCTCTCTCAAATAAACAAATAAAATCTTAAAAAAAAAAATTCTCCACAACAGACCAGTCATTAAGGCTACAGAAATTTCAGCAATAGTTCTTTATAGGTTGGTGGTAAAGCACAATCACAAAAATCACATCAAAATATATCAATTCTGGGGTGCCTGGTGGCTCAGTTGGTTAAGCAACTGCCTTCGACTCAGGTCATGATCCTGGATTCCCAGGATCAAGTCCCTCATCGGGCTTCCTGCTCAGCAGGACGTCTGAGTCTCCCTCTGACCCTCCCCGCTCTCATGCTCTCTCTCTCTCAAATAAATAAATAAATAAAATCTTTAAAAAAAAAATACCAGTTCTTTGTTTCCTATCAAACAAAACATATATCTTTCCTATGATCCAGCAATTCAACTCCTAGTTATTTGTCCAAAATAAGTGAAAGCATATGTTCTTAAAAAAGCTAGTTAAAGAAGAAGACAAGGAGGAGGAAGAAAAGGAAAAAATATACTTGTATAAGACTGTTTATAGCTACTTCATTTGTATTAGCCAAAAACTGGAAATAGCCCACATGTCCATGAATAGAAAAATGATAAAATATGGCATATTATACACTAAAATACTATGCAGCAATAAAAAGGAACAAATTATGGCTATATGCAACCACATGGATAAGTTTCAAAATATATGCTGAATGAAAGATGCCAGACACAAAAGAGTACATGTTCTATGATTCCACTTATATGACATTCTAGAATAAAAATTAATCTATGGTAAACATAGGTATAAATATTTATGATCTTGGATTAGGCAATGGTTTCTTAGATATGACACCAAACACAAAAGGAACAAAAGGAAAAATAGATAAAAGGGACTTCATTCTAATAAAAAACTTTTGTGTTTCAAAGGTCACCACAATGGAAAAGACAACCCACTGAATGGGAGAAAATTTTTACAAATCATATATCTGATAGTGATGGACTAGTATTTAGGATATATGAAGAACTCTTACAACTCAACATAAAAAGACAAAAACTCCAATTTTTAAAAATGGGCAAAGGATCTAAATAGAAATTTCTCCAAAAAAGATACACAAATGGCCAATAAACACATGAAAAGATCCTCAACAGGATTAGTCATCAGGGAAATGAAATCAAAATCACAATGAGACACCACTGCACACCCAACAGGATGGCTATAATAAAAAAAAAATAGACAGTAAGTGTTGGCAAGGATCTAGGGAAATTGGAACCCATATACACTGCTGGTGGGATTATAAAATGGTGACGTTGCTTTGGAAACAGTCTTAATAGTTCCTTGAAAGGTTAAACACAGAGTTACCATATGACCCAGTGATTCCACTCCTAGATGTACACCAAAGAGAGATAAAAGCATGTCCACACAAAAAGACAGAAATATGAGGAATAAGAGCTAAACCATGTAAACCGTTTAGAAAAGTGCCTGACACACAGGAAGCATCTGATAAATATTAACTTTACTATTTATAGTCCAAGTAATGCTGATAACATTTCTTTCATTAAATAATTTCCCTGTTAGGCATAAGCATGATAAAGTCTAAGACCTACCTGCATTGCTGCCTCCCCAATAGCACGTCGAATTTCCCTCAGAGTCTGATACTGCTCCAACAAGTGATCACCACAGATGATATCTACCTATGGGCAAATAAGAGTATCAAATTGCTTTCTTGCTTCAAAAAACCATATGAAAAAATTAGGAAAAACCAATGTAATTATTTCCAGACTAGACTTTGCTATTTTATTTTATTTTTTTTTTTTTAAGATTTTTATTTATTTGAGAGAGAGAATGAGAGAGAGACAGCATGAGAGGGAGGAGGGTCAGAGGGAGAAGCAGACTCCCCGCTGAGCAGGGAGCCCGATGCGGGACTCGATCCCGGGACTCCAGGATCATGACGTGAGCCGAAGGCAGTCGCTTAACCAACTGAGCCACCCAGGCGCCCTAGACTTTGCTATTTTATTTCAGACTGATAAAACACTCTCAAGACAGATTTTAGAAACTTGCTACAGAAATAAAATGGAAGGTGGGTGGGAGGATGGGTTAGCCTGGTGATGGGTATTGAGGAGGGCACATTCTGCATGGAGCACTGGGTGTTATGCACAAACAATGAATCATGCAACACTACATCTAAAACTAATGATGTAATGTATGGGGATTAACATAACAATAAAAAACTAAAAAAACAAAAAACAATAAATAAATAAATAAATAAAAAAGAAATAAAATGGAAGGAGCATTAGAAGACATTGCAGGACAATAGCATAGTAAGCAGATACTCAAAATGATTTCCTTGAATTGCTGAGAACAAGTAAAATCACATGATACATTCAGCATAAAGGTGGCACAGGAAGGCACATTTTTTTTAAGATCCATGATAAAATGATTAAAAGGATATATAATACTTAAAAAGGTAATCTCTAGTTATTTTGAATAATTCCCTTATAAGGAATATCTCATTTTCCAACAATGGAGAGTCTAACCCTTAAAATACACACTAAGGGAACTATTTTATGGATGAAACATCTTAGGATCGTTTTAGTCCTTTAGTAATATCAAAGCTCTAAGATAAATCTACTTTTACACTGGATGCTCTAGAAATGATGTTGTATAGTTATATACTATATGGTAGTAAGATTCCAGTATACTTACTTCCTAAGACAAAAATGCAAATCTTCAATCTTTCTTGTCTTGCAATGAGTGCTCGTTTCCTATTGCTTTAAAATGGGGTCAGGTCCTTGATGTCTTACTATCCTTTAATTGGCTAGATCTCCTAATGTCCCTGTTTAGTTTATGGCATGACATTTCTCCTCGTCCTCTAACCCAGAATAGAATATCACCTGATTCTTACTTCTCCTTTCCCTTTCTTCTTACAATAATCAGTTACCAAGTCCTATGGCGCTTTATCATAATACTTCTTAGAGTTCATGTCATCCTTTCAGCTGCTGCCCCAAGGCTTAAAGCAGAAACCATACCACCTCCTAACCAGATTTCCTACTTTCAAATTCTGTTTACTCTAAAAATCCCACACACTGCCAACATGTTAATCTTCCTAAAACCTTAAGCAGGGATGGGGAAGAAGTGAAAGCAATTGCATTTCACTGAGAAGCTACTATGTATACCATATGTTATATACTACATATTTGATATATGTGATCTCTTCTAATGTTCATTCTTATGAGCTAGGTATTAAAATTCCCACTTTACAGACAGGAATACTTAGAGGTAAAGACACTTAACTTTCCTAAGGTCACAAAGCTAGTAACTAGCAAAGTCCAGATCGAAACCCAGGTCTGTCCCCAGGTCCATCTTTCTCCAAAGCCCAAGTGCATGTCAGGGGTTGGCAAACTTTTTCTATAAAAGGCTAGATAATAAATATTTTGGCTCTGTAGGCCATAGGATCTCTGTCATATCTACTCGATCTGGCACTATAGCATGAAAACAGCCTTAGTATGGCTGTGTTCAATGAAATTTTATTTATAAAAACAGATGGCAGGCTAGATTTGACCCATGGGTCATAGTCTGTCAACATCCATGCTATATCATAATTCATAAACTCCAATTAGTACCAACTTCTGTGTTTCACACTTACTAGTTTCAAAATTGGCAGAGCAATACTTGTTTGCAAAATGACTTAAAAGCAATGATAGTGTAGCTTGAGCACAGAACTTAGGTTCATGAAAAATTAAAGAATTTGGAAACTATCACTATGTTTTGATTTAGTATTCAGCAATCCAGGGACCATCACTCTTCATGAGCTTCACCACATGATATACATGTATGGTTTGGTTATTGTATTTTTTTTTTTTTTAAGATTGTATTTATTTATTTGACAGAGACACAGCTAGAGAGGGAACACAAGCAGAGGGGAGTGGGAGAGGGAGAAGCAGGCTTCCTGCCGAGCAGGGAGCCCGATGCGGGGCTCGATCCCAGGACCCTGGGATCATGACCTGAGCTGAAGGCAGACGCTTAATGACTGAGCCACCCAGGCGCCCCTCGTTACTATGTTTTTCAACTTAATCTTAACCCCCAGAAGTTGGCCAGTTACTGACATTTTGATGTGTATGGCCCTAGATGCTATGTGTCCATGTAGGTTTTGTGTTTTGATTTTTAAAAATGGGATTATACCACATAAATTGTTTTACAACTTATTTAAAAAACAAAACAAAAAACCTTAATATACCATGGTCATCTTTGAAGTACATAGTTAGCTCTCTCTTTAATAGCTACATAGTGGGGGCACATGGGTGGCTCAGTCAGTTAAGCCATCTGCCTTCGGCTCAGGTCATGATCTCAGGCTCCCTGCTCAGTGGGGAGTCTGTTTCTCCCTCTGCCTCGCCTCCTGGCTTGTACCCTCTTTCTCTCTCAAATAAATAAATAAAATCTTTTTTGTAAAAAAAATAGCAACATAGTGTTACATTGTATGAATATATCATACTTTATGTACCCATTCCCTTGGTACACATTTAAATTGCTTCCAGTTTTACATACTGATTTTTAAAAGTCACCTGACTGTAAGTATTTCATAAATTACCACAGTCAGATCTCTGAAGTTCCCAGTAACATGACCCACATTTTTGGTAATTTGCTAGATGGACTCACAAAACACAGCAAGGATACATGGCCAGATCAGTAAGGGGAAAAAGATGTAGCTGAAGTCTGGACAAATTCATGCACAGGCTTCCTATGCACAGCCCCCACCTCAGTTTAGGAAAAGATACACCCACAGTATTCCTTTTCCTAGCACTGTCAATGCGGCCAACTTGTACAATATTTCTACCCAGGGAAGCCCATTTGAAGCTTGGAGTACAGATTTTTACCGAGGGCTGTTCACGTTGGCATTCTCTGCCTAGGAACTAGTAAATTCCAGACTCCCAGAAGGAAGGCTGGTATTCATCACAGACCCACTGTTTGTACAGTCTAGGCACAGTGTAACACCCTTATCAGTTAGGGTAGTTTTCCTATTATTGTAGGAAACTTTTTGTGGGCCAAGTTCCTAGATGCTAGGCAAGGGCTAACCTTGTAAGCAGGCCCTTCTAAAGACAGAAGCCTCAAGTTGGCTTTATTAACTCTTTTTCTGTACAATCTTTCTACACTCTGGAGTATCAAGTCTCAGATAGAAAGGATAACTATAATATTTCTGAATCTCAGAGCAGAAATCAGAATGTGAGGGTAGTCTTAAGGCAAGAAAAACCTGTGTCTTTTTATTTATTGATTTTTAAAACCTGTATTTTTTTTTTACAAGCAAGATCACACTACAGATTCCAAGATAGGATGTTTCAGTGTATGAGCTAGTGCCACATTTGTTCTTTTCTTTGATAGAAAGTTTTTTTTCTTTGTCTGGTAATTTCCTATCCGATACTCTTCAAGTCCATTCTTTAACTCCTCCAGAGTTAAATCATTCATTCTTGTGCTCTTGTTGCACTCACCACATCCTACTGTCATTCCGTTGTTGTACTGTATATCTTTCCCACACAACTGAGTCCCTGGGTGGCATGAATTTTCTGTCTCATCTTTGTACTGTTATGGCTAACTACACAAATGCTCAATTTAATATCAATAGGTAATAAGTAAATGGTAGGGATATACCATATGATACATTAGAGTCTGTTCAAAAATTGATTTGAAACAATTTAATAGTAAGGTTAAAGTCATATACTAAATAAATAATAATAAATATAACCCATCTTTTAAGATAGAATTATGGCAGGATTAACAACAAAATCTAGTATCACTTCTTTTATATAAAGATTTTTTAGTGATCAATATGATGTTTATTTTCTAAGTCTCATTTCATAAAAGCAAAGTAAGATCTAAGACAAACCAATGTACAAAGGAACACAAGAATAACTATAAAACAAAATAAAAATAAGGCATAAACTAGTTCAAAACACCACTAACTCAACCATGGTAATCCAGAGGCACTGAAGTCTCTAGGTGATGCAATCTATTCAGACAATTATTGATTTCTACTTTTGAATTAACTTAAATTTCTTTTTTTTTTTTTTAAAGATTTATTTAT